AAAAAAAAAGCAAAGAAAAGTCTCTGTAGACGGCTACGGCCGTGCAGCAATCACTGAGTTTAGAATTTTTGTGGTTGGCGTTTAAAACCATACGTTTTGTATTTTGCAATGATTACCTTGCTTGCGTTAATGTTGAGTTCGATGCGGTGCTGTGCGCATTTAGTTCCAGTCGCGTAATCACACATATCTCCAGCAAATGGCAATTGTTGGTACAATTGGCCTTTTTATCATAACCATGCGCACTCACTCACTGACCGAACTAACAAAAAAAAAAAAAAAAAAAAAAAACACAAAAACACAAAAACATAAAAACAATAAAAAAACTTAGATTTACTTTATTTCACATTTACTGTAATGGATCGCAATCTATCTGCTTAACTTTGCTTTGTTTCGCTTTACGTTGCTTTGCTCTACTCTGCTCTAATCTTCTAAATAACTTATGCTATTATTTTGATACCATAATTTAACGCGATGCGGTGTGGTTTAGATTATCTCGCGGTGAAAGCTTTTAAATAATTGTTTTGTCATTTACTTAACATTTGCTGATCTCTTATCCATCCAGTACGGATGGAGCTGCAATTTATGTTTTAATGGTTTTGATATACAATTTAATGGTAATTTTTATACCCACTTCTCAGCGGCCGTAATAGTTTCATCAAACGTTTATATGTGCATAGAAATCCATATATAGGATATAGATATGCTTAAAAATTCAAGTTCACAGAAATTCATTACCCGAAATTACATTAAACAGCAATCACAGACACATTGATTGACGTTTATGCAGATATTTCTTTTAGGGATTTAATCTTGTATCATCCCATACATCCCATATCGTTTTTTTGAAAAGGCGCCTGTTATTACACTAATCTCGTAATTTTTCGCCAAATAAGGCCACCGCATAGCCATAGTTAAGAAGCGTGATTATCAAATCGGCATAATCGGTTTTAGTTTGTCAGTTCGTACCATGGCCTACTATAATAACAATTGATGGGTGGCTGTAGCTGTACTCAGTGCTCGGTCGGTAA